GTTGCAAAATAAGAAGAAATTTAACGATTGTTCTATATTAAAGACAAGATGAACAATTGTGAAATAAAAAGAATAAACAGTTTAAAAAAACAATGTAACAATAAGAAAAAAGGAATAATTTTTTAAAGTAAAATATACCTTTTTTTTAGTCATTATTGTTATTTTTTGTCCTATTAAATAAACGTCATCGTAAAAATAATTACATTTCTCGTATTTTTCTTCATTAAATGTCCCTTTTTATTTATATCGTAATTGTAAACTTAGAATAAATATTATCAGGATAATTTTCTTAATCGCTCTTTCGCTAGAAGCGAGTACATTACTAAATATATATTCCGATAGTTATTGAAGTTCATCCATTATCATCTATCTTTAGACATTTCATAATAAAGTAGAAAATTGTTCTTTTCTTCAAACTAAATTTTAAATTATTTTCAAAAATTTCTTTTTCATTAATCAATGTCAATAAATTTATGTAAAATGCTGATGTTTTTGACTAGAAAACATATGATTAATCCATAAATTTTTATTGATTTTCATTAATAATTTACAGAATTTCCAACTTAATTTTTTTATGATCTTTCTTGCTTATTAAATTCTACATACTTTCAGGATGTAAACAATGTATAGCAGTGTAAAATATTGTATGTAATTGTGTACATCTGTTTCAAAATTTTGTATATAGCGGAAATTCCATCATAAAATTCTATCCATTTTTCCATAAATTCTACAGTAAATTCATGATGATGATATAACGTATACATCCAGTATAAGCTCTGTCGTAAGATTCTGTTAATTTTGCAATAAATTCTGTTTTAAATTTACATTCATTATTGTTAAACTTTATAAATTCTATTGAAAACTTGTGTATGCACATAATTTTTGAATAATATTTTTGACAATCCCCAATGGCTTGCAATTGTTACAATAATTTATTGTAGTTTTTTTAATAGAATGCTAGGTTTATACCTGCTGAAACAGTACAAGGGGTTGTCCATAATTACTTCCTCACTGGAAGAAAGGTTATGAAAAGTCAAACAAGAAGGATCGAGCTTGAATAGAAGTCCGATTTATTTCATTGGGCTGAAATTTTCAAAAACTTTAGTCCTATAAATTCCCTCTCGCGTTTGTCTGTTTGTCTGCCTGCTTCTCCTTAATCTTTATAAAGGAGTTATAGATTAAAATCGAGACCTGATATGGAAAGCTTAGAAGCAGAAGGCCGATTAGCTATAGACTAACTTTCGGTCCAAACCGAAAGTCAATAAGAGAAAAAGTATGATGTACAGGGCAACCCACTACTAAAATCAAGATCATTGTGACAATGTCACAATAAACAATAGCGCGTTAAATTTTATACAGTTCATGCATTTTATTATATTTACAGTCGACCCCCTCATAACACGGTAGATACGTTCGAGTTTTTATGAATCCATTTTCTACGAGTCCAGCCAATCACAGCCCGGCACGTATGCAGTTTACGGACTACGGTTGTTTGAAAGGTCTCTTCCATAAAATTAATCGATTCCAGACTAATTCGACTCAACATTTTCAAAATACGTATAATTTTTGGGAATAATCCATATAAACTACGCTATAAACAAAAAATTGTAGGATTACTTACCGAGCGTGCACCGTTCGACGACGCCATTGCTTAAGCTTGTTTTCGTCGTGGAGCGGCGCATCGAATGGCGCTCACGTGCTTCCTGATAATTTTTTTTTTTTTTTTGGAANTTACAAATATGTGAGCCGTTCACAGCTCGGCATACGTATTTGTAAAATCTAAGTGACTCGTACAACATGGAATTCATATAAAACGGAATTATCAACAGTGTTTTAGGGGGGTCGACTGTATTAAAAGTGAAAATTGAGGACGTCCCCCTTTTGGCATTCGAAAGGAGAATGATAAGGTCGAGTGATTAGGAGTTTGTAGTAAATAAAAATTCATTTCTACAGTTCTTATTCTATTATACTGTCGTTTATTCGTCTTCGTATAAGAAATACAAAGACAAGTAACGAGTACTTTAAATATTCATAACTAATTTTCATCTCCATCACAGACCTCATCCTTACTGGTTTTCATTTTGATGAAAGAATCTTCAAAATTCTGCTGTCAGGTTATGTAAACGAAATTTAGTGAGATTAAACACAATTAAAAAAAAGAATATGGATATATTCAGCAGTATAATGCAACATAAAATACAATTAAGTTGTAATGAAGTCACATATATGAGACAAGTAAGAGCCATGAGACAAGAATAATGGGCATTTGTATGTAGTAAAATACAATTAAAAGTTTAGAAGTAGGAATAAATTGCAACAAAAGATCATAGTAGAGAGTATGAAGATAATTACAAAAGAAAGTTAAAAGTAAAGTAATAATTAATGGTAAAAATAATAGAATTTAAATATTTGCATGATCTCCTTTACAGATAATTAGTTTCACGAATATAATTTTAATCTTGCAGATGACACGTGAGTGGGAAGATTCGTGGGCTTCTCTATACTCTACTGTAAAATAAATATAATTTTAATACTGTAAAATATAATTAATTTATGGTTCAATGTAGAATTTTTCACTCACAGTGGATGTAAAAATTCACGAAATTCGTTTTTTAGGGGACTAAGTTACATTCGATCGAATTTAAAGTAACTGTTTCTTTTATACCCCGTGATATCGCTTTAGATCTACACCAGTGAAAAGAATGGAATGGCTCAATGGGGTAAGGCAACAAATCGCATGGGCGATCTGCCAAGTGGGATTAAACACAATTTAGAAAGTCCTCCCGGGAGACATCCCTGCTCGGCAGATAGCCCACAAATCGCGTTGCACAAACAAATTTAGCGACAATTTCTGGTTCTGTTAGATAATGGCTTATGTTGAGCGTCATAATTCCCCCATTGCTGGCGTTTCGTACGACAGTTGGTCAGCCCTGGTAGTGATAAGTTAAACATTAACGGCACAAGGTACGTTCAGAAAATTATGAACCATCGCGTTTTGCCTTCATAGCGGAACTAAAGGGTAATGCTTGGCTTGGAGCAAATAGGATTAACCAGGAATGTTTCCGTCGTTACCACACTCGCTTGGTCTTCCCGCATCCGGAACCCATCAAGCATTTGCGAGAATACCAGATTCGGGTATCTACGAGTGTAAGGGATCGACAAATAAATCTGTCTCAGAGTAGCGTGTCGAGCCTGCACGTTTCCATGGCTTTTCCATGCCCAATACAATTGTTTCTTTAAATTGTGCCATTGTTTGATAGTAAATTATCTACGGACTGATACTGTAATTACTTATGAACGTTGTCTTTACGTTCTCACTAATAAAGTTTCATTCGATTTCGACGCATCCTCCTTGCTGTGTAACGTTTTTTTGTCAATAGACTTTTGAGACCAGATCGAAATTTCGTTTTCAATAAAATTAAAGTAGGTCAAAGTAGATAAAAGACTACTTTTAAACAAAATAAGCACTTAAATTTGCTGACAAGCATCAAAATGCTGAAGCAAAGTGTAGCTATAAGCAGCCAGTTACGATTGAAATTCGATTATTAACAGGAGAAATCAATCACAATTTAATTCCAATTCGATTCAAACTCAATTAGAAATGAAGAAAACTTTTATTTAAATTAATATTTCTTCTAATATCTACTTTTACAATCGAAACTCTGAAAAGAAATTAAAATTGATTTTTCTCCAAAGAATAAAGGAAACGTTTTAAAATAAAGCCAAATAAATTAATTACTTAATTTAAGCAGATTTTTATTGAAGTTAATTAAATACTTTTGAAAAATGATCCTTTAACATACGAAATTATATTGAATCGCATACGTTTTCAAGTAATTACAAGTGATAATATTTACAAGAATAACCAAAATTTATCACAAAATAATTAATTATGGCACCTTAATTATGTCAAAAACTTATTAAATTAATTAAAAAAAACACTCTTTTTTTCGACTTAAAAACGTACCTTTTCTGACGACCCCATTTTGTAAGTCTGTTTGTAAGTCACAAAGAATGAAAATACGAGTAAGAAAAATTTAAAAAAATATAGAATGGAGTTATAAATTTAAATGTTAAACTTATATAATTTTCTAAAAATATTAATCCAAGAAATTTAACATTGACATTTTAAGTATTAAACATAGAATGTCGCGTCGTTTGTTGCCTGTTATCGAATGGTACTGTTGATCTTGCGTTTCTATGGGGACACCAATCAAATTTATTTTGTCGATTTATATAAAAATCAAAAAATATATACAAAAATTAAATTTTATAATATTTTCCTTCCTTTTTATCTCAAAACTTTGAAAATTAAAAGTAATAATAATAATAATAATAATAAAGACAGCAGCAGCTACANACATTTATGAAATTTTTACAAGAGGTGTAAATTCGCTTCCATGGAAACAAACTATTGCCTGTTGCATCTAAAGACTCGATATCTTATGAAAATCGTTCTATTGTTGTGTTTTTAGAAGTAAGTCTATCTACTCAATTACTAAACTTTTTGAAGAGAAAAATGAAATAAACTGTTCCTTTTTAAGTACACTCGATGTTTTACATCGCACAATTCCTATACAATTTTGAACACGTCAGTGCACTTGAAAACTTTATTGTAGTGCAGCGGAAGAATAATTTCTACTGTCCACAGAATATATACACCTTATATGGACTATATTTTGTTTAATTTCTATGGGAAATAGAATAATTATTTTGATATGTTACAGTGCATATCATGCTCTATATAGTTTACTCTGATAAATACGTAATATATTATAGTACGGTGCTATTATATACATGTGTATATTAATGAAGTGTATTTCAATTATTGTAAGCCTGACGATATATACATTAAATTTTAAGATTTGTATAGCTTATCTTTTACATACTTTATCTTTTACAAGTATAAAAATGCATCGAGTGTACAAAATATCAGTTAAAAACTTATATTTCTCAAACTGTATACTAATATAATATTTATTTATTAAAAGCCACAGAATTAATTTTTTCAAGCCACCATATATATATATATATATATACTGTATATACAGCGTTAAAATCTCGTTCTTTTTACAGAAGAGTCAGCTATTTGTAAAATATTTTCCGTAATACACGGAGCTACATTTGTGCAGATACATCCAACATACCGCATATTACATCGCATCTGGTTTTTCTATCCAAGACTTGGACTGCAGAACTGTGCACTTCTATTGATGGAACCGAAAGGGATTGCGCCCTTTTAGATATAAAATCATTAGATATAGGTATTGTTAATCCTGGATAACTCGCTGGTCCATTAATGGTTGTCAGGGGGAGAGAAGTCGGAAACGATCTTCCAGAATGAGTATTAACGGATTTACATGCAACGACACCTAATATAAGTCCAACGAGTACCAACATAGTACCTGTAATTAACAAAATGGGTCCCACAATTTTCAATGGATCTAAGATGTTTTTCACTTTCTGATATTCGTCGTTCGTCAAGGGATGTCGAAAGTAATTATGATAACGCGGTTTACTTGCCATTACCGTCAGGATGGTTCCTGCTATTAAGTTGAAGATTCCAAAAAGTGCAAAACATAAAACAAATGGTCCAGCCATCACCAAACCGGCGATCCTTCTACCAAGTCTGAGTTCTTCATATCTTATAGATGGAGGATGATGAATACGTGGAATTGGAGAGCTTCTTACAATCTCCATGTTGCCATGGAAATGATCCAATATGATATTATAATCTAAAAATAAAAGTAAAACGTCAAACGTCTTACTGAATTTTTTCTATTTTTATAGCATTTAAGTTGTAAATATTACTACTAAAATTGATATTCTAAATTAAATAATATTATATTTATGCTTTTTGTTTAGGGTCTCGTGTTTTCAAGGGTTCTAAACACGCACAAATATATGCTTATACATACCTGATCTTGGTTAAATATTAAGATATTACATCTTGTGCAGTATCAAGCGATACGTACTTTACATTATATATAAAAGAACTCTATAAAATTCATTATTGCCTGGGGCTTCACGCAACCAAAACTGCCATTGCTTACTGTAGAGACTATTGATTGATGATTCGACTCTTCAATAAATCGAACATCGCACGTGTTCATAATAGTGTACAAGTCCATCGATATATCGAACTTCCAAAGGAATATAAAAAAGAAAATCAGATACAGCATTTTCCCATTTTTGAATTCGATAGTTTAACAACTACGGTATATAACCTACGACCATACGAAAAAGTAAGTAAAAGTACTTTTTAGTTACGTTGCTGTAATACTTTAATAAATTCTAAAGTAAGAAATTTGTAGAAACAACTTTTCTAACGTTGTATCCGAGCAATTATAATTTAAAACTAAGCGAATTTGCTGAAGAAAGAGTTTTAAAAGATGGAAAATTTTTTGAATAAACTAGTGATAAAATACAGAGTATATGGAAGTCATTGCAAGAGGTGTAGCAAGACCATACTTTTTCGAGAAATCCACAATTGGGGTGGTGACTTTTTCATGTATATATTATGTGTATAATATTGGAATAGTTTTTACCCTCATGGTTTTATGCGAATCTCGACATTTTGACACCGTTTGAACCCAAAATGTCAAACATGGGAGAAAAATCCCGTTTATGTGTGTATTGGCATCTATTTTACTTATTATCTCAGAATGAGATAGAGATTAAGAAACGAAACTTGGCACGGTAACTTGTATATAAGGGGCATTGCTACTATTAAATTTGATGGTTAAAGGTCAAGGGACCAAGTTAATACTGCCAAAGTTATCACTGATAACTTTATCAGTGATAACTTGGATCAAATTAAGCAAAGTTCCAAAATCAGCTAGTTTGTACCATCAGTTGTTACTACTTAACATTATTTAGTAGATTTTGTGACATTATAAATGTCAATAATTAGAAATTAAATGTTTATTATATACCTTTGAATAGAGAACAAAGATTAAAATTGTGATTTTGATTATTATAAACCACAAATTATGGCAGTTTCTACTCTGCGCTTGTAAATGACTTGTTAGATTATTATATCGAAACAACAATAAACGAATTATTTGTATTTTATTTTGGTAAAGTCCAAACATTCGTTACGCACTCCAATAGAGCTGCAAAACCATAAACCACTTAACTACAAAGCATAGCACAAGCTATAGTTCTACAATCTTCGTTCATTTTTCTCATCAATTGCTACTTTCAGGTGCAAGTAATTTAAAGTGACAGTTGATTAGTAACAAATTTCCGAAAAATGCAGTCACAAAGAATGCAAAACTTCACTTTGTATTATCGTTTAATCAGTGATTCTTAATCTTTCTCACTGTTCTCGTCCTATAATAAACAGTAATGGGATAGAAGTAGGCTTCTACAATTTCTTACGCGTGTTTTAGCCTAATTTTTAGATATAAGTAAGCGATTAAGAAAGAAAATTTTTCTGTACCATTCATTAATATAAGAACATTCCAATCTAAATTTACAGATTTTAAACAGCAAAATGAATAATTAAAATATAAGATTTTATTCTTAAAATAACTCGGTTCTCAATGTTAAATGTGAAAAATTTCAAAGGAAAACCATTTATATGCTGTAAAAATTACTTTGCAGAAGTCTCACACCCATGTAGTGGTGCACCTCTGATTAAGAACCACTATACTACGTAGACTCATGGTTTTCCAAGTCTTGCATTAAGTATTAAAGTGTCGACAACGGAACAGCGGAATAGTAAGTTCGACATTAAATCGAACTTATATTCATATAACATTCTGGAAATGTTTGAACCCGTGTTTTCTTCAGCTTGCTGACCCTACTTTTCATCACTCACAACCCGGCTTTCTCTCCCAAAAATTCCTGGTTGTCCCAAACCGCACTCGAACCCGAAACCTCTAATAAACAAGCTTCACGCCTTTCGGTTCATTGGGATTAAAATCATTAGAATTGCATTAAATTTTAAAAAAATGAAATGTTTAGATGTATTTTTCAATACTATTTATTGGAATTCTTTCAAAACTTTTCAACAGCTTCAAAAGAATTTCAAAACTATCGGTAAATTTATCAATGATAATGAATCAAATTATACAGAAACTTCAAAACTCGATATCATGAATCAATAATAAATAATTTATAGAATTTTCAAATAATAATAAAACTTGGCATCTATAATTTTATTTCACTCGAAAATAAATCTTTCGTGAAAATTTCTTTATTGAAAATTTAAAAAATTTTCGAAATTTGGGTACTTAAAGGAAAAATAGTTTGATTGATGTTGCTGTAATGTAAAAACAACAAAAGATTTAATCAGGCAAATGGAAAATAGTCTTTAAATGTATATTTTTCTTTTATTTTAAAGTTGGACTAATGCAAATTTTCGAGTTGTCATTCATTGTACGAACTACTTGGCAGCTAAAATGTCACGAAATCGCTTGTTTAAAAAGTGTTTTGTTGAAGTGACTGGTGAAGATTTCAAAATTAAATTGCTTTTTTTAAAATCTGAAATACATTTTAAAGCATTAAATTTTCGTTATTGTATTAGTTACGTCGTTTAATTATTTTTTATATTGCTGCTACGGCTTTCCGCGTGATTTTCTAAGATATTTCAGAATAATACCTATTTATATGATCTTAGAAGTTTGTACATAGAAACCATTTTAAAGTAGCGTTTAAGTAAATAAAAGGAATGTTTTAAATATTTTATAACAATATAAGAATTCTTAGTGAAGGTGTGACTAATTAAAGAAAACTTTACGTAACAGTAAATGATAAGTAAAGGTTAAAGTATGAAGTTTGTATGTCTTTAGCCAATTTTTATGCCGCTGCTCATCATTTAGAAAATTCTTGATTTCATTTTTGTTGCGTTTTCATTTAATTAAAAACACTGAACGAGAACTTAACTCTTTAGCTTATACGTCTCATTAAATGTTCTAATTTTGAACATTAAGAAACTTATCAAAGATACTTATTTTTTAAACTAAATACACATGAACTTCAGCTGTAATTGAAAAAACTACACCCACATTACATCCCTATACATTCTGGATACGTCATTTAGAAAGTTTGAAAAGGGGAAAGAATATAAATTTAATACAAGAAAATTTATTTATTTTTATATTAAACACTCATTAAAATAACTATTTGTTAGTTACGTAACTTCTATATTAAGTCGATTGTGCTAGTGAGTGTAGTTGTGTATAGTTGGTCCGCTTTGAAGAGATATGGCAACGCAACACATAGACATCTGCCAAAGAAAAAATGAATATTCTATGTGAAACTGGTTCCTAGTTTGGTGTTAGACACGTGGAAAATACCCGAAAAACTTCACGCGGTCAGCTTGTTGGTCAGGCACGAACCCTTGACAAGGTTTATAATGCGGAATTGCCTACTAGCTGCAATCCGCATTGTTGGTGAGCTCATTGACGAGGAGCGAACCCCCTACCAGTATTCGATGGTTTTATCCATTCGGACGGTGATGGACTAATTCTATATACAAAATCAGTAAGAATATATATAATATATTATAAAATTAAATCTTTTAAACTTTTGTATTCCTCGTTATGAACGACATTAACATTAAAAATATTCTTCATTGTAATAATTTAGAATATTATACTAAATTAAAGTATAATAAACTTTAATTTAGTAATTAGAAATTTTTCAAATCTGTCTTTTTTATCAATCTATTCAGTTATCATAAAAGTGTAATTTCTATTTACATAAATAAATACTATAGTGCACCTTTGATCTTTCTTCCAGGATCCAATTTCTAATTAATGTCGATGAAAGAAAACCATTCAGGATTGTTGATTGCTGTTTTATTTCAATCAATCAGTTAAGTAATCGCAAAAGACAGTTAAGTAAATTGCTTACTATTGTATCCGATCGGATAGTCTACGGTCTCAATTACAGTGTAGTAAAGTAAATGGATACCATCAATTTAAAAGAGAATCACCCCAAAAAAAAGTAAATAAATAAAATAGAATTCCAGACTGTTCGAAAGATATAAGACACGAATAAACAACTGTTACGACGGTTTCTGTAGCGAAACAAAACATTATTCTTGTAGATTTGTCGAATTGTTTTTCACTGTAAATAAATGAATTATATACGCGTAGATCCTGACCTGTGAATAACGGCCACTGATGAGAACATAAAAACTTTCCGTTTTTGAAAGTTATTTCGTGTGTGTTTCAAAAAGAAACATTCCTGAAAAAATGGTCACCGTTTACCGGTGGTATTTATTTATTATTCTGGTTTTTGTACCCTTTTTAAACATTTAAAACTGTTATTGTAAGCATACAAATGTTTACATTAAAAAAATTTAATTTATTTCTAATTAAACCTCTCGAATTGGACACCTTTTTAAATTGAATATGTGCCAACGAATGTATACAGTATAATGAATATAATAAAACACTCGGGTGGTAAGAAAAACAGTGTTTTGCTTACAGTTTTCCTCTTTTCCTCTATCAAGGGCATCTCTCTAAATTGGATATATTTCAAATGGATCACTAGTGACTAAGAGACTGTTTAGAGTACAATTAAAATTTTTTAATTACCTTTCTGCAAATTAATTAATCAAATATCCTTATTTCATTTACTAAATTGCTTCGTGACAATTGTCAATAAACTATTCTTAACAATTGTCTTTTAAGAAATACAGTATATAAATTATTCCTTTAAGATAATAGTTGATTATTAAATAAATAAATATAGAAATTAAATTCATTTATCCTTCAAAAAATTGATTTTTGATCAATTTTTTCTAGTTTAGAGAATAACTTTCTAAAATTTAAATTGGATTAAACATTGGATAAAATCATTAAACATTAATACTTAGTAGCGGATTAGGGCCTCACCAAATTTGAAAGCTCGACGTGGGTATCAGCCAAGTGAAGTTTCCCGGATTTTGTTCACGACCAGTTTCCCATAGAAAGACTTTTCAGAAGACACCCTTTGGCATATTGCCTGTGTTACGTCGCCTTCTTCCATCAATCAAATCCAGTTTCTCACTTCCGGGCACCTCTTTCACTATTTAGCAACGCACTAGATGTAGAAATGTTCGTTTTTCAATGTAGATTTAACACGAAAATGGGAGGAATTGTAGAAAACGATAGTAAAGGAAGTGGGTGGATGAAATAAGCAACAAATACTTAGGAAATGTGCCAAAAGAGTAGGGCCTCCTGAGAGGACTTACTGTGGGAAACTTGCTTCTACTTGCGTGTTAAATTTGAGGAAAAATCTGGAATATCTCACGTGGTCAGCCCGTTGGTAAGGCGCGAACCGGCGAAACGACCAGTTTTCAATGCTTTTAGTAAAGGATTTGAATAAACTAGGATTGTCAGATATTGAATATGTAATTGATGAATATCAGATCAACTTTATCAGCTTTTTTGCAAGTAAAATATATAATCGTTCCTCTCGAAAAGTGTATCAGAATGAATACATTCATTCATATTATCATATAATAATTCAATAGTAGATAATCTATTTAGACAGCTTCTATGACGTCATTCTTCAATTCTTTGATCTAAGTACATTTTACTGGTTTACAATTATCTGAGTCAGGAAAAACATTTCATACAATTGATCACACGCTTCCAGTACCCATTGTTACCCACTGTTAAGTGCACATCATTATTATTTATTAAATCTTAGTTTCATTATGTAAATATATTCTATTCAGCAATTTCCAATAGTAACCAAGAAAGAGGCAAAGTGTCTCTACTGCCTGCCTTATGACTTATGAGGACCAGGAAAATTTGAAATAGAGGACCCCATGCAGTGGAGCATTATAGCTTCACGGGGCCCAGGCAAATTTGAATTAGGAGGACCCACGTTCAGCGTTGACATTTTTCTTCGGGAAATTTTGTTGACAAATATTTTCCTATAAAAGATTGGTTTGGGGCCCTCTATTAATGGGGTCCAGGCAACTGCCCTTTTTGACATAGCTTTTTATTTAAGTTCATCATATAAAAAATTGTTTTGAAATGGAAGACATCATGAATATGTTTGAATGTCTCTTTCCGCTCAGTGGGCTCCAGGACACCAACAGAACCTTACCAAACCATAAGGTTTGGTCAGGCTCACAATAGAGGGGACGGATGAAGAGGGTCGGGGCCCAATATTTCTGGGATAGATTATCTTCCGAAAATTTCTGGAATTGCTCTCCCGAATTGTTTGGCTCAGTTTTTCTAGGATGTATCTTATTATTTTGGTGTTAGCTTACTTTCGGTAGTGGCACAATCTCGGTGAATATCAGACAAATATTCGCAGCTCAACCTGAAGTTTATTTTAATAATTCTGATTTTAAAGAAAAGAAACCGACAAATTCCTCCCGATAAAATGAGGATAAAAGAATTTTATTTTACTACGTACATTTCAAGAAAGTTAAATATTTGTTGTTAGTTTAAAGAATTTATTTCAAAATAAAATAAAAAAAGGAAAGTATTTAGGTGGAAGCTCACTTCCTTGTTTTTATATTTATTATACTATCTGCAATTGTTTCAATTAAAAACTATAATGACGATGTCAATTTGTAATACACTTACAAAATGTCAAAAATTAGACAATAGTTTTTTTGTATTTCATACAAACTCAACCCATGTACAGTAGCAGAATTTGTAATCTATTTACAGGAGTTATTAATAAATTCTGGTGTGTCTTTTGTGGAAAATTGTGTACTGTATTATGGGGATTGACATTAAACTTTGGCGGTTAATAATCGAGGGGGGGTCATCAGCCATCTCGAGTGGTGACTGTTTTGGTTAAGGAGACGTGCCACATGGGCGATCTGCCTAAGGGGATGCTTCCCGGGAGGAGTTTTATGGGAAACTGCCCCCTATTTAGGTGTTATAAACATAAAGAAAACCCGGCAAACTCAAATGGGCTGGCCCATTGGCCAAGTGCGAATCCACGACCAAGTACCAGTGTTTAATGGTTTTATCAGCCATTGTTGGGCCGAGTGGGGACGGATTTAATGAAGTTTTTATACGTTATTAGCTTATACAATTTTTATAAAATTCGTCTCTACTCTCAAAATTAAGCTTTTCTTTTTTTTTTTAACATTTTATAATAATTAATAATATAAAAAGTTTTTAAAATAAAATATCACAACAGATGNGTTTATTTTTAGAAGAAAGATATTAAATTCCAAAGTAAATTTTACTTAAACAATTTCGAAGGTCAAACAGAATAAAGTAAACAATAAAGTTCATTCATTGCTGGAAAAATATATTTAAAATTAAAAATGTTCCAAGTAAATACATTGAAAGAATTCATTGATTTTATATATTTAATAATGATTTAGAATTGTTTAAAAAGAGAGAATTGCCATATAATCTACGGTTTTTAGAATTGTTTTCGCTTCTCTTTAATGGAATTTTTCTTTATTTTATGTAAAATATTATTTTATAAGCGAGATTTTAATACGAAGGCCCGACTTATCCGGAAGTCCCCATTGTAGGCCCGGCCGAACTCACGGTGGGATCGAAAAAGATGCCTTTTTAGTGTTCAAAGGACGGAAAGAATCAAAAAAGCGAAATTATAGTTATAAGTTTTAAATGAATGGGATCAGATATAATTAATTTATCAACATAACAAATTGAAACATCGGTATAAATCAATATATCAGTTGTAAGATCAATTTTTCTAAGTTGTATCTAGTTGTATGAATTTTACTTGATAATTTATCAATATGCAATTTTAATATATCAGTAAGATTAGCCTACTGTAACCAATATATCATTCGTTAGAAGTAGTTTAAAACAGAAAACTTCTCACCCCTTTGGCAGATTGCTCAAGTATTGCATTGATACGGCACTGGCTCTTTAATGTAACACCTAAGATTTAAGTGCGCCGTTAGCTCAAAAGGGTTGACAATCACTGGATCAATATACAATTGCATGTAAAATCAATTGTTCTAATTAACATATCAATTGTAAAATCAATTACAATTAATCAACTGTAGATAATTTAGCAAGTTAATGTATAGTTGTAATGCCAGCGGTTATAATATTACAAATACATTTAACGTGGCTTCAAAGCCACCTTCGAACATCACGTTACAAGATGATTTATGGCGTTATATTTCAATAATCATTTACAACGTCGCAGTCTTAACATCATTTATAAATTACAGTTTATTTATCTTTAAAGTACAGCTCATATAATATGCATACTAATCAACGATCTTAGTGTACGTAACAGTATAACTGTATAATATACATAAAGTTAAATGCCTGCACCGTTTCATTATAATGAATACATTTTAGTACTTGCAGGTATACAATATACAGTACAGAGTATATCTTACAAATTTTTTTTTTTAATTTCTGAACTGTGTACATTTTAAATTTTCAACACAAATAATAACTCAATAACAATATTTTTCATAACTTTTCTGTGATAATTGTTGCCTGATGTAAAAGAAATTTGAAGCTGTTAACTAATAAAAGTGGATAAGAATCGTACAGACAACCGAACAGGCTACGAAGTTGTAAATAATTTATCAAATAATGCGGTTGTATCTATAAGCAGAGTGTATCGACACATTTTGATAACCAGTTAAGCACTCGCGATAACTCTTTTCTCATTCCTCTTACATAATCTTCACTAACATGCTCGAAAACTGACACTTAAAATCCCTTCCTGTAGCTACAAATACTGTCGAATGTCATTTTTTCATTCATGAATATTAAACTAAAATCCCTCTTAGAAGTTATTTTAATCTTTAAGTTGTTTTATTGATACATAACATGAATCAGAAGAAACGATTTCTTCAAGTTTACTTTTACAAGCGATTACTTCAATGTATAATATTATTCCTTAATGTAATTAAGGAGTCTATCGAGAATATGCGTTACGTAATTTTGTGATTGAATTGTGTGACAACGTCACAGATCCTTAAGGGGAGGAATGGTAGTTAAAAGGTATAAAAATAGAAGTACGAAATTTATGTACAATACTATTAATATGGAAATAATGTTTCGTATCGTAAATTATGTATGAAACAATAAAATATTTGGATTTTTATTTTATTTTAATAAACAGCAAACAGTTAATGAAGAAAACATCAGGAAAAGTCACTTGTAAACGACAACATAAAATGCCAAATGCAAGAAACAAAAAAGGCGAATGTAAATACGAATATTTGTTTAATCAAACTAACGTACACTTTTACGTCAATTTGACATCATTTCCTACATTTCCGTAACGAGAAAATGCAAATGTGACGTCAAATTGACGTAAAAATGTATATTATATGAAGGAACAAATACTTAATATACTTAGAAATGAACGAATACTTTGTAAGAACTAGTATTTACCTTGACATAAAAACTCGTCTTGATGTTGAAGGGAAGAAAATGCGTAACAGTTTTCTTATTCAATATTCGTTCTTCTTATGAAGTATTCGTTTCTTCAAAATAAGTACAAAAAGATACTGTGTAAAAAATTAAATACAACAAACAGAACAAAAAAATTATACTGTAGTGCATTTTCTATCAAGAAGTTACATATAAAAAAAAAAAAAACACAAGTAGGAGAATATCTACCGTAACATTACTTACATACTAACAATACTCAAAACAATATTTTTGAAAAAATAATAGAATAAAAACAATTTGTGTTAAAATTGTCTAGAAAAGAAACGAAAAAATACAGGATTGAATAAACTATAAACAAAATAACAAGCACCAAGTTTAAGAATAATACAAAACACAAAGAAAACTATTTTCGAATGGCTTCGGGCATTATATAAAATGTATTGAAGGAAAGACAAGTATTTGATTCTGTCGAGGGATGAGCCTTAATAATATATATATTTATAATATAAAACAAAACAAAAATATAGCAAAATACATCGTCTGATTTTTATTATTTTTCATCTGATTATAAGAGATTTCAAATTATACAAAATCCTATTCTATTTAATGAAAGTTTGCATATGTTCTTCCTAGCTTTTTCAGTGTTTTCAAACTCTATAATATTCAAAATCGAGAATAAGATATTAGAAACAACGTAAACATAAAGCAAAATTCAAAAGTTTATTCCCCTGTTTATGTTTAAAATATGAAAATAGATATGGGGTGGTCCGAAAGCCGGTTAACCGTTATATATAGTAAATTCGTTTGTAGAACAATTAAACATCTGCATGCCATTATTAACATGTAACTATTCCAAACAAGTATTAATCGGGTGACCCAAAACTAAATTAACCGCGTTGTTTCTTAATATTATTTTAACAACTACTCGAATTGTTTGGGGACAGTTGCGTATTACTAACAGTATGCAAATATTTAACCGTTCTTATAAAACATATCTCGGTTAACTGACTTTTGGGAAACCCTGTTAAAATCGGTTTGAAAGTAGCTTATTCTGCTAAAAATTTCAAAAAAATTAATTTAAGAATGTTAATTGTTTCTCTATTTTTTTAATAAAAAAGGAAACACTTCAACGTCACTTTTCGTTTATACACATAACAGCATTCGTTGGTCTGTACGTTGCTAAGTACTCTTATGTATAACGTCTTAACAGTAAACTGAAACATCCAAATTATGTAAACCCTTATAAGCCACGTTCATCCATAAAAAGGCATCACACAAAAATCAAGACAACAAGCAAAATAGTGGTTAGACATAAGCAAAATATAATAGACATATACTTAGATTCTATCGTAGTCAAACACACAGACAGACAGGCAAACGTATGATTCATGTACTCGAATTTTGAATGTCGATGTGTATTGAAGTTTACTAAATGCTTTAGAGATCGACTTCGCCAGTTTTGCATTGTCATCCATTCTTACTAAGCTTGTTTTAGAAAGCGAAATTATTTTAGATAAATTCTCGAACACAGAACAGAAACTTATGTGTTATTTCTAGAAAACAATACACCAGTGGACTAAAAATCACATAAACTTCAAATAAAAACACAAGTAAATCAAATTGAAACAACTGATAAAATCACACAATAAACAGTGACGTGTGTGATTTATTTTTAGGAAATCTAAATAAACCAAAATAACTTGGAGTTTATAAAATAGTGTGACCCACTTCATCTAAAACAATTGAAAATATAAGTCAAACAATAGAAAAAAAAAGTATCTTTTAATCGTTACCATCGCGTAACAAAAACACAATATATAATTTAATTATCCAAGAAAGTATCACGTAACAGCAATTAAACTTATAAGAGATGTATAATTAAAAGAATAGAAAATCAATTTTTATTATATTTATCAGAAACGATAATTATAAAAGACTAATTTATTTGCAATAAGAACATTTTCGATTATTTAATATCCCCTCAGGAGCTTGTTAAGTTCTAGCGATTCCTCTTGTAAATCTAATTACTGGTTAATGTCAGACCAAAAAGAAAATAATAACAATAAATAAATAGCATTTTTATTAGTATAAAAACCGTGACGCATTAACAAATAAATAATTTCTGTATAAGAACAATTAAAGAATTCTTAATAAAAGTGTACTGTACAATACATACGCTTAAAATGTATGGAATGGCCCAAAAGTCAGCTAACCAAGATATTTGTTAATTAATATATAAAAATAATTAACACGCTACAGTTAGAAACTTTTGGTTGTCCAAAAATCAGTTAACCGAGAAGAATGGTTAAATATTTGCGTGCAATCGTTAACACGTAACCGTTCCGAAACGATTCCAATCGAATTGTTCCTTAAGAAACCGGTTAACTGAGTTTTGGACCACCCCATATTCATTTTAATACGTAACTTTGCATTTACCTTTATCAAATTACAATCCTTTTAAGAATTTGACTTTAGATAACGCGATCGATAAATGTGTAATTAACCTTCTACATTCGAAATTATGTAGATTAAAGTTTATCTTATCCTAAAATTTTATTTAAAAATTTTAATTTAATTCTTAAAATGTTTTAATATAAAATTCGAATATAGTTCTTTCAATTTTTATTTTATTTTTTTTTCTTTTCTTAAAAGTTGAATATATTTTTGAGACGAAATAATAAAACTTATTTCTATTTTTCTTTCTTTTTTTTCATAAAAAGAAACAGTTTTATCGATTTTAAAAAGGTTTCTTCCGTTATTTATATCACTTTTTAATGGAATTTAATGGACTTGATTTTTATTTACAATTTTGAATGTAAATAATTGAGTTATTTAATGTTTTAATTCATTAATTTCACGTAAAAGTATGCAATTGTAGTTTAAAACATAAAAAGCGGTATAAAAAGACGTTTTACTTGCAATTTTTACTTATTTTTCTTTTCATTTTAGGTATTTCTAGAGTTTTAATTCATGACATAATAGAGTTATATATTCCTGAAGGCAAGGTAAAATATAGTAAACCCCTATAATGAGCTCTTTATATGGGCAAATGTATTCCCTGCACGGGAATACGTTAAACCATTACATTAGGGAGTTCACTTTACATATAGATGTACAGTGAACCCCCTAAAAAGAGAAATGTATATAGATCTTTACTGTCCCTCTTCTAGAAATATAGTATAGTAGATTCTTACTACTAAAAAACTAGGAATCGAATACTTATAGTAGACTGGGAGATAATTCACACACCCTAAGGCTCCATAGTATATAAAGTAATAGGAACTACTGGGTGTATTTTCCTTTTTCTACACGTTTAGTATCTCTAGTAGAATATATATAATAGCATCTCTAATATCTCTACTACAATACTGTACTTATATTTTATAGCCTTATAGTATCAAGCAGGGATAATGAATATATTGTGCTATTTTGTGATGCTTTTTAAACAAAGTCTATATTTATTTTACTTTACGTATTAAAGAATAGCTTTGCAGTAAAATATAATATTCAAAAGTACCGACAATACTGACTATAAATAATTCTTATTGGTCTCCCAACTTGAAGCTTTAAATTTATTAAAATCCTTCTCTTTCCCCCTCCCCGTTTGGCGATTGTAATAAAAAGATATGTAATTTCATTAAGATGGTGTTGCCAAATAAGCGTACCGATCTAAACTAGAAATTCGATGACAGGTGGATATATTGTAGAGAACTCATTTCATATACCTGATCTCAAAACTCGATTACTTTCTATGAGAATACGTCATGGAAAAAGTGATGCTCCTACCACGAAAGAAGACATGAAACAGAGAATAAGTGAAGCTTGTGTTTTGATGAAAGTTTGTCCAGAAATACACACATTTCTCTGGGGTTTCATTTCAAATATCAGTTGCCTCCTGTCCTTGTATAAGAGGACGAGAATCGAAATAAATTTTTCATTGTTACAAAGCTCCTTTTGAAACCGAAAAAGATAAAAAAAAAAAAAGACAGTTCGCATCGGTGTTCTCTAGTTATTACCTTGTAATACTATGTGAAATATCTTTAAGATACTACAAGGTTTCATAAATAAGCTTTTATATCACCTGTTTCAAAGCATTTGATGCCATTCAAGTACTTCGAGCGACAATTTCTTATTTTTATACTGTGTTTTAGAAACTTAGCATTAAATATAACACAGATTTATAACAATGTATTATATTTCTCTTTAAAATATTTGAAAAATTATTTTGTGCTTAAAAGTTAGAAATTTTATTCAATATTTACAATATTAATTACATAATTTAAACAATTATAAACTCAAGAGACGAAAGGGGTTTAACACATTTAATTTATTATAGAGCTGTGTAAATCATCGAAAATAATTTAATGATAAAAACAAGCTTTAAATTAAAATAAATAAAGTTTAATTACTTTACTTTCTCGGCTCTATTATATATAACAGAGAGGAAGTATAGCGATCGATCAAAAAAAAATCGCCCCATTCCAAGATTTTTGCATTTTTGAACTCAGGGCCCTTGCAACATCCAGAAATACAGAAAAAGTTGGGGGCTTTTTATATATGTATGAATAGATGTTAGTGTGTTGTGGGCACGGTTTGTTCCCCTCTTTAAAATTTAATAACTCCTGTGTCTTTTGTCAAAAATTTCTGAAAATTTTGCAGGAAAATTTCTGCATTAGGGACATTGATGCTATTCAATTTTTGTGGTTAAAAGTAGAGGGAATTGGGAGATAGAGAGGAGTCGTGTATCGTATCTCCAGTGGAGTCGGACTTAATGAAGATTTTTTACTCGTTATCATTTACAATTTTTTATAAACTCATCTCTACCATGAAAATTAACTTTCGCCATTTATAATAATTAATAATATAAAAACTTTTTAAATAAAATGTCGTAACACGTGGCACCACAGGCAAATTTAAAGTTTGACCAAGAAAGCTACGCAACTCGTCGCTAGATTTTCTAAAATTAAATCAGAATTTCGAGCATAAAATTTACAATAGGAAACTTAATTCCATACATCATCAAATTTCGTGAAAAATTACTAAATAAATCCGGAGCTTAATTAATTTTCAAAAAGTTATCTTAATCATTATT